AACAACGAGGCTTCAGCCCGGCTAAATGAGGAGTTAAGATATGGCGTCACACATGTGCTTCACTTGCAGGAAATTAGCAGCACTCAGTAGCTCTGATGAATCTATTTCTGAGGACAGCGCTGACAGCCAGCCCCTTCTTAGAGCACATACCATCTTCTGCTCCTCCTCCACACTTACTTCCCACGCCTACACCCTCATCCCATGTAAAACTCGCCCTGCACACCGGACCTGACCACGACACACGGGACCTGACCACGACACACGGGACCTGACCACGACACACGGGACCTGACCACGACACACGGGACCTGACCACGACACACGGGACATGACCACGACACACGGGACCTGACCACGACACACGGGACCTGACCACGACACACGGGACCTGACCACGACACACGGGACCTGACCACGACACAAGGGACCTGACCACGACACACGGGACCTGACCACGACACACGGGACCTGACCACGACACACGGGACCTAACCACGACACACGGGACCTGACCACGACACACGGGACTGACCACGACACACGGGACCTAACCACGACACACGGGACCTGACCACGACACACGGGACCTGACCACGACACGCGGGACCTGACCACGACACACGGGACCTGACCACGACACACCGGACCTGACCACGACACACCGGACCTGACCACGACACACGGGACCTGACCACGACACACGGGACCTGACCACGACACACGGGACCTGACCACGACACACCGGACCTGACCACGACACACCGGACCTGACCACGACACACGGGACCTGACCACGACACAAGGGACCTGACCACGACACACGGGACCTGACCACGACACACGGGACCTGACCACGACACGACTATATTAGCGCGTTGTAAAAACATTTTAATAAAGTATTAATTTGAAAAACCGTTGTTGTTACTTGTTGGCCATTACCTCGTGCTGACTTTCCACAAGCGAAAGTTCTTCATATATATATATTGATATTATTATTATTATTATTATTTCTATTTATTTATTTATTATTATTATTATTATTATTATTATTATTATTATTATTATTATTATTATTATTATTATTATTATTATTGGTGCCATTCAAATTATTGTGCAGGTTTCATTTAAGGTCAGATTCTCACCAGGAAAACGTTGGTTACTTTAAGAATCCTTTTGTTCCTTCACTTCGTCTTCCTATCCTACCTTCGTCTCCTAGTTCCTATCCTGTCCTATTATCCCAGCTCCTATCCTGCCCTCCTAGCCCTGCTCCATTCCTCTCCTCTTATGTTGTCCTCGTATCTGCTCCGTGTGCTATACAGTCATCTTGGTTTAGAGCTGTCTCATACCTGCCTTTCTTTCTCAAGCCGTCCTCATGCTAGGCTTGTTCAAGCGGCGGCCGACCCCCCCCCCTCCTAAAGATGCATTTATAAATTTAATCCAAAACCCATATTATCCAAACCCATATTATCCAAAACCCATATTATCCAAAAACCCATATTATATAGCAGAATTTGGGCGAATAGTTAGAGGTTAGATTAGGTTAGGGTAGGTGGTTAGGTTAGGTTAGGTTAGGTTAGATTAGGTTAGGGTAGGTGGTTAGGTTAGGTTGGTAGTTATTTATATTTGTAGTACGTGGGTGAAGCAGAGGTGGGATTCGAACAGGGAGACACGAGCGAAGCAGTGTTCGAGAACCGTTCAGTCATCAGTTACGAGTCAAGTGCAAAGAGGATTTCTTTCATAAACAGGGGGAATTTAGCGGTTGGATTAACGAGTATTTGGCGATTGTTTATGAGGACGGGCTGCTGTATTGACGAGGACGGGCTGCTCTACTGACGAGGACGGGCTGCTGTATTGATGAGGACGGGCTCATGTATTGATGAGGACGGGCTGCTGTACTGACGAGGACGGGCTGCTGTATTGATGAGGACGGGCTCATGTATTGACGAGGACGGGCTGCTGTATTGATGAGGACGGGCTCATGTATTGATGAGGACGGGCTCATGTATTGATGAGGACGGGCTCATGTATTGATGAGGACGGGCTGCTGTATTGATGAGGACGGGCTCATGTATTGACGAGGACGGGCTGCTGTACTGACGAGGACGGGCTGCTGTACTGACGAGGACTGAAAAGAAATCCATTCTTGATGAGGATGGGCTGCCTTCCTCTCTTCCTTTTCCGATACATCTTCATCTCCCAAGATTGGAAGCCGAGGGGTCGACGGGTGAGTGCACGAGCCGAAACATAGCGACCAGGAGCTGATCAGTGCCAGAGCGCAACACCCTCGCGGCTCACTCGCGAGCCCGGGATGCCGCGGTTGATTGCGGTATGCAGAGGTTCGCGGGGCAGGAGGGGAGACTTGGGCGGGGGAGTGGAAGGAGAGGCACCGAGGGGAGTGGGGGAGAGGCAAGAGAGAGAGAGAGAGAGAGAGACACTGGGGTGAGGAGAGGATGGGGGAGACACTAGGGGAAGAGGGGGGAGGGCGGAGGAGGAAGGGAAACGGCCTGCGGTCAACTCGGAGCCAATGAGCGCTACATATATATTGGGGAATAACAGCCCCCTTCCCCCCTTTCACAGCAAGAAACAACAGCGGCCACAGAGGGGAACAGCAGCCGCCACAGAGGCAGAGGGGATTAAGAATGCCAATGAAGAACTCCAGTTTAATGATACTCGAGGCGACGTGAAGCGGGACTCAAATTGCTGCTAATTTAGAACCTATTGTGCTTCTCCAACACTTTGGTTAGTCTCTTGCCAGCGGCGGCCTAAACTTGCCACCGGCGGCCTAACCTTGCCAGCGGCGGTCTAACCTTGCCAGCGGCGGCCTAACCTTGCCAGCGGCGGCCTAAACTTGCCAGCGGCGGCCTAAACTTGCCAGCGGCGGCCTAACCTTGCCAGCGGCGGTCTAACCTTGCCAGCGGCGGCCTAAACTTGCCAGCGGCGGCCTAACCTTGGCAGCGGCGGCCTAACCTTGCCAGCGGCGGCCTAACCTTGCCAGCGGCGGCCTAAACTTGCCAGGGGCGGCCTAACCTTGCCAGCGGCGGTCTAACCTTGCCAGGGGGCGGCCTAACCTTGCCAACGGCGGCCTAACCTTGCCAGCGGCGGCCTAACCTTGCCAGCGGCGGCCTAACCTTGCCAGCGGCGGCCTAACCTTGCCAGCGGCGGCCTAAACTTGCCAGGGGCGGCCTAACCTTGCCAGCGGCGGTCTAACCTTGCCAGGGGGCGGCCTAACCTTGCCAACGGCGGCCTAACCTTGCCAGCGGCGGCCTAACCTTGCCAACGGCGGCCTAACCTTGCCAGCGGCGGCCTAACCTTGCCAGCGGCGGCCTAACCTTGCCAGCGGCGGCCTAACCTTGCCAGCGGCGGCCTAACCTTGCCAGCGTCGTCTCAAAATCTTTTCCGTAAGGTTGGAGATGACGCTGGTTGCCATGGCTTGTAAACAATGGCAAACACACGGCGTCACGTGAGCGGAGAGAGCGACCTTGTTACCTTCCATCACCCTACACTGCTATAGGGTGATGGAAGTTGATGTTGGAGGGCCTCCAACACTGAGCGTGGAGGACCCCTCCAACACTGAGCGTGGAGGACCCCTCCAACACTGAGCGTGGAGGACCCCTCCAACACTGAGCGTGGAGGACCCCTCCAACACTGAGCGTGGAGGGCCCCTCCAACACTGAGCGTGGAGGACCCCTCCAACACTGAGCGTGGAGGGCCCCTCCAACACTGAGCGTGGAGGGCCCCTCCAACACTGAGCGTGGAGGGCCCCTCCAACACTGAGCGTGGAGGACCCCTCCAACACTGAGCGTGGAGGACCCCTCCAACACTGAGCGTGGAGGACCCCTCCAACACTGAGCGTGGAGGACCCCTCCAACACTGAGCGTGGAGGACCCCTCCAACACTGAGCGTGGAGGACCCCTCCAACACTGAGCGTGGAGGACCCCTCCAACACTGAGCGTGGAGGACCCCTCCAACACTGAGCGTGGAGGACCCCTCCAACACTGTGTGCTTCTATAACAGTTTTCCAGGAAATGCAAATCGCGTAACCAATCCCTTGTTACAGTCACCAGCCACAATACACCAGCACAGGTAATGGCGCGCACGGCCGAGTCCTGCGTCCGTCTCTACCTCCTCACTAATTACCAAGTTCCTGCCGATATTCGATACAAAATAAATTAAAATTTATAAGAATTTAACCCAAACCTGACGCAGACCTGACGGAGACCTGACGCAGACCTGACACAGACCTGACGCAGACCTGACGCCGACCTGACGCAGAACGCCTCGTAGCCAACTCAAGTACACAGACGCGCCCAGGTCCCTTCTCCCCATAAAGCAGTACCACAGAAATGTCAACAAGAGAAGAAAAACAAAACTTTTATTACCAAGTGCGGCACAAGCTCCAAGTTCCAGCACACAAGTTTCAGTGTAGAAGACCGAGTAATGTTCCAACTTTCAGCGATAAATACGCAGTTTTTAAAGTTCCTTTCTGGTATATAAAACCAAATAAATAACGCGGTAGAAAGTTTCATAATAAAACACACCAGCCTGGGAAGTCTATTTAAAGAGGACGATAGTCTCCTGTCGTTATACACGAACTGTGAGCAGCCTGGCCGGCCATCACGGTGGCATATATCGCGGTAATACACTGACGTTTATGCATCACAATGACGCCTTTACGTCAATCATGTAGAGGGAAACAGCGCTGATAGGATCAAACTGCCTCCGGAAGAGTCCGAAGCCACTAATGTGAGTACCACATCGAGTCTGACCCGAAACTTACCTGCACTTGACCTGGACACGTACATGTACTCGTCCAGAGACGGCACCACTCCCGTGCCAGGTAAGTCCACTACGGGCTCACCATAGCCCGTGCTACTTGCCCCGCTCCTGTGCCAGGTAAGTTACGGGCTCACCATAGCCCGTGCTACTTGGAACCTGTTCCGAGTAGCTGAATTTATAACAACAACAACAACAAATGTACTCGTCCTGGACACTACCTGTACTTGTGGACACGTACCTGTATGACCCGCATGGGAAGGCCTGTCTCCTTGGCCAGCTGCTCGCGGATGTGTCGTGTGGGTTTGGGCGTCTTGTTGAAGGCGCTCTTCAGGATCTCTAGTTGCTTGGCCTTGATGGTGGTCCTTGGGCCCCGCCGCTTGCTTCCCTTGTCCTCCTCCCCAGACTGTGACGGAAAAGATCAGATACATCCAATAATTACACTTTGTGCTAATACTCTCTCTAGGCAGACAGAAAGTCGTAATAACGAGGCTGAAAGGTAGACTATCGGCTCACACATCTGGAAATAAAGATAATGACGACGTCTGGGCCTTGGATCGTTATAAAGTCGTGCGAAGGACTTGGCATGACTTGTCCACGTCGGACTGAAAGGTCGTCGGACTGAAAGGTCGTCGGACTGAAAGGTCGTCGGACTGAAAGGTCGTCGGACTGAAAGGTCGTCGACTCCTTCATTTTCAGATGTGTGGTTTGGGGGGGGGGGGGTCTAATATTTCTCTTTAGCCCTCTTCCAATCTGTTATTATTTCCAATTACCTATCTACTTATCCATGTGTCTACATATGCGTATACATTTATTTTATCTATTTATCTAAAAAAATATATATATTTCAGATCATATTTCACATATTCTGATATATTTAAGTTTTTCTGAAATATATTTCATTTCTGATATATTTCATTTCATTAGACACGACCAATAGTCATACGCTGACGTCAGCGTATGACTATTAGTCGTAACAAGATCTAATATGCGACTCATGTTATATCCAAGAGCAATGGCGTCGTAGCGAAGGTACAGAACTGGATAAACACGGACCATTGAAATCAAAATTAAAGTGGATTTTATTAGAGGGGAAACAGTTATTACTTGCTATTATTAGTATTGTCTAATAAGGAGCACATGTCCAAATTGGAAAGCTATTAGATATTTTTGACCAGACAAAATGCTCTGACTGTTCGATGTGCCAATTTGGGATACAGTAATCATAAATTAGATCCATTAATTTGATCTCGTCTGATTGTAATTTTAAGGAATGGTCGATTCATTGGCTGCATAGCATGATATAATTGTTATAATCTCATGACAATAAAACGTTAATAAAGAGAGAGAGAGAGAGAGAGAGAGAGAGAGAGAGAGAGAGAGAGAGAGAGAGAGAGAGAGAGAGAGAGAGAGAGAGAGAGAGAGAGAGAGAGAGAGAGAGAGAGAGAGAGAGAGAGAGAGAGAGAGAGAGAGAGAGAGAATTTTGTAATCGAGAAATAAAATATAGACTGAATTCTATTTCAATATTTGGCTTGGGCTCCCTCTCAGTAATTCGAAGTGCCTGTCCCTTTTTTTCTTTTAATGTGGATGATGTGCCGAAACTTATATTTTCTTGTTGTATTCATCGGCCTTTGAGACTTTCCTGTGTGGAACAAAAATGTGTTGTTGAGCAATCGCTCCAATAGATTTACGGAGGGGAAGGGAATTATGCAGGGTAAGCGCCAAGCCATTACAACTATATAGCACTTGGAAGGGGTCAGGATAAGGATTTGGGATGGAACAGGGGGAAAGATATAGTGTACAACCACTTGGACGGACGGGGATTGAACGCTGACCTGCGTGAAGCGAGACTGTCGTTCTACCGTCCAGCCCAAGTGGTTGGGCTGGACGGTAATAACCGAGTCGTGTTGATCATAAGACTTACCCTCTTGTCGTCGTCGTCCTTGTTGCCTTCGAGTTCTTCGTCCTCGTCTTCGCCTTCGTCGCGGGAGTTGACGCTGGAGACCTTCTCGAGGTCGGTGGTTTGGGGGGCGGAAGGCGTGGAGGGCGTGTTGGGGGCGTGGAGGCCGTTGGAGTCGGACCCGGGGGATTTAATCGACGCATCACCCGTGTCCATTGACTCGATATCCTCCTCCTCGTCCGATAGCACGTAAGGGTCGACTGAAGCCAAAAAAATACACAATGGTCAGGAAAAAAAATGCAATGGTCAAACGGCGTCGAAATGTAAACCTTTAAGTATACAGTATCATAGCATCATGAGCAGTGAGATTTGTTTTAATATTTTTTGTTTTATTTAACACAAAACCTTACGATATCTGTTGCTTCAAACTTCCGTACCCGACAGCTTTCCGCTCATGTAATCTTGTTTACACACGAACTTATTTTCCTCGAGTACATAGAGTTCCTCGCCGGTGGAGAGCTGCTTCCGGCAGACGCAGCAGGTGAAGCACTTGAGGTGGAACACGCGGTCCCGAGCCTTCCTTACGAGGTCCTGCGGGGAGATGCCCTGCAGACATCCCGAACACTTCGTCCCGAACCGCCTGCAGGAGGGAGAGAGAGAGAGAGACCAACTTATTATACAGTATTATTCAACCAAAATGATAAGCACTGTAAATACAAATATTTTAAATCTACATTTCTTATTATGGAATCGGATTAAGATCCACGATAGGGCTCAGTACTGAGGAGCACAGTAGGCCTAGGAGACGCTTTGGCCGGAATGACCGGATAACCGAGACGCCCTTCTGTGTGGAAGCGGCCGGTGGTCCCTCTGCTCCCTCTCCTGGTTACTGTCCGGTTACAGGTCCTCGGCCAGCGTCCGTCTGTCAGAAATGCGTTGAGGCTACGAGTCGCGGACATCTTGCAATTATTTCAGTTACTGCTCCACGCGCCTACCATAGTAATGAACTGAGGCGGAATATACAAGTGAGTATGGTTAGCCACCCGTCTCGGGAGTGGTACTTGCTTCCCCACGGGGTTAATAATGCAAGGGTGATGTTGCCGGTGGTGGCCACGGTGGTGGCGGTGTGGGCGGCCGGTGGTGGCGGTGTGGGCGGCTGGTGGTGGCCAGGGTGGTGGCGGTGTGGCCGGCCGGTGGTGGCGGTGTGGGCGGCCGGTGGTGGCCAGGGTGGTGGCGGTGTGGGCGGCCGGTGGTGGCCACGGTGGTGGCGGTGTGGGCGGCCGGTGGTGGCCACGGTGGTGGCGGTGTGGGCGGCCGGTGGTGGCCAGGGTGGTGGCGGTGTGGGCGGCCGGTGGTGGCCAGGGTGGTGGCGGTGTGGGCGGCCGGTGGTGCCTAGGGTGGTGGCGGTGTGGGCGGCCGGTGGTGGCCAGGGTGGTGGCGGTGTGGGCGGCCGGTGGTGCCCAGGGTGGTGGCGGTGTGGGCGGCCGGTGGTGGCCAGGGTGGCGGTGTGGCCGGCCGGTGGTGGCGGTGTGGGCGGCCGGTGGTGGCCAGGGTGGTGGCGGTGTGGGCGGCCGGTGGTGGCCAGGGTGGTGGCGGTGTGGCCGGCCGGTGGTGGCCACGGTGGTGGCGGTGTGGCCGGCCGGTGGTGGCCAGGGTGGTGGCGGTGTGGGCGGCCGGTGGTGGCCAGGGTGGTGGCGGTGTGGCCGGCCGGTGGTGGCGGTGTGGCCGGCCGGTGGTGACCAGGGTGGTGGCGGTGTGGGTGGCCGGTGGTGGCCAGGGGGGGTGGCGGTGTGGGCGGCCGGTGGTGGCCAGGGTGGTGGCGGTGTGGGCGGCCGGTGGTGGCCAGGGTGGTGGCGGTGTGGGCGGCCGGTGGTGGCCAGGGTGGTGGCGGTGTGGCCGGCCGGTGGTGGCCAGGGTGGTGGCCAGGGTGGTGGCGGTGTGGGCGGCCGGTGGTGGCCAGGGTGGTGGCGGTGTAACCGGCCGGTGGTGGCCAGGGTGGTGGCGGTGTGGGCGGCCGGTGGTGGCCAGGGTGGTGGCGGTGTGGCCGGCCGGTGGTGGCCAGGGTGGTGGCGGTGTGGCCGGCCGGTGGTGGCCAGGGTGGTGGCGGTGTGGGCGGCCGGTGCGGGCATCAACAAAGGCACATTACCACCTACATACAAATTGGCAATAAGCAGCGGTGCGGCCCGTCATTTGGCCTTTGACAAGAGCTTCTGAGGGAACAATTAGTGATGACAATGAGTGAACTAATGTGTTCAAATGACACGGCGGTGCCTGTGGCTTCTCCATAACTTTTCCCATCAAGGGTCTTCCTGGGAACGCCCACTAATGCCACTCGCCTTTTTCCGCTCTCGTGTTTAGCCTTCTTCCTCAACCTCCCTCTCCCTCTCTCTCTCTCGCTCTTTCCTCCTTCAATTATCTGTTCATTCTTTGGTAATTTCCTCCCATTGTTCCCCTTGTACCCATCAAGAGAAACATTTACACACAGCTCCGCACAAAGGCACTCGTCGAAAGAAAATCAAGAATAAATCACTGGAGATTTCATTTAAAGACAGACCATGAAGAAGGTGGAGGGCGCCAGCGGGGCTGGGCCCACACCTGACGGAGGCCAGGACGGAGGTACAAGGCGCTGGTGGCCTCAGCCGGCGGCGCACCTCACGCCACACACGTCTAAGATGCAAATAAGTTAAGTTGGAGCCATTTTCCGTTGTAGGACCTTGTCTCATTCACCTGTGGGCGTGAACGCTCACTTTAGGAGCGAGAGGACGACATTCACCAATGACTAGAACATTCATTATCACTATAGGTGCTTATATATATATATATATATATATATATATATATATATATATATATATATATATATATATATATATATATATATTTTACACGAGTTTCTTTATTGGGTATCTAATCATATATACAGCTACTCTACACTATATGAATTGTTACATTGTGTGTCAGGAGCGGTCTACGCGAGGATAAATCATTCCCATCACACAGGGAAGGTTAATCATACAGGACCATGCGATCAGCAGTAGTCTGAACTGGCAAACTCCGGATGCAGTATGATCATGATATCAAAAACATAAGAGTGAATATGATAGCAGTGATACTAAAAAGGTCCCCATCTCCGAGGATGGTCAGTCAAACAGGACCACGTGATCAGTAGCCTGAACTGGCACGCTTTGGAGACGTTAAGAGGATATCAACAAGAACACGAGAGTTATAAAGTAATTACAAAGTTCCAGGTTGAGTGAGAAACAAAAGTCTACGATAGTGCCGACCCATATTTCACTCTATCACTGGTCCCACCTCAATCCTAGTGGTCACTCGACACATGATTTTCCTTTTTACATTTTTCCGACGTGAATTTCCTTTATACACGCACTGCAATACATAAATAATTCCGGCCTGTGTACCACTCTACATGTAAGCAGAGAAGACAGTTACGTTTGCAAGTGTTCATTTTATAACAAAATTAGAGAGCATAAAATGTTCATCCACTAATTTCTGAATTTTATAAGAATTATAAATAAATAAATAAATATAAATAAATAAATAAGTAAATAGATAAATTTATAAATAAATAAATAATTATAGAATTATAAATTATAATCATTTTTTAAGAATCTTATAAGCTCTATTTTATAAGTGTAAGAACACTTACACTTTTTGTTATATAGAACAAGTGAACTTACACAAAAGTGTAAATGTAAGAACACTTACACTTTTGCAAGTGTTCATTTGATAACAAAATTAGAGAGCAAAAAAATGTTCATACATTAATCTCTGAATTTTCAATCAGGATGATCGTTCAGGTTTTCATAAATACCGAAGCTAATTCTGAATAAAGCTGGCCGGGATTTTTTGTAAAAAATATTATATGTTTTTTTTTTTACATTTTATCTACTAAGTTTCAAATCATTTTAGCTTTAACGATGAAATGCAGGCGACGAGTCACAATAACGTGGCTAAGGTATATTGACTAGACCTCACACTAGAAGGTGAAGGGACGACGACGACGTTTCGGTCCGTCCTGGACCATTCTCAAGTCGATTGTGTCGTCGTCCCTTCTCCTTTTAGTGTGTGGTCTGGTCAACAACGATGAAATGCTTTAATCAAATTAGAATATTTTTTGTCACAAATTTCCTTATATCGTAATCATAATTACAAATAAAAATTCGTGATAAACCGAGACATCCCGTTGTAGCAGCATCCAGGGGGCTTAGACACGACCGTCACTACAGCAATGGTGTAGAGCCCTAAGTTTGGCTTTATACACACTTTATTACCATAAAGTTTGGCTTTATGTCCTCCATCGAAACTTACTTGATGTCTTGATTTTATGTTAAAAGACTGATTAAAAATGCGTGTACTTTGTTTGGTCTCAGTTTCTCTCTTATATACATATTTCATACACAATAGGCACTAGGAGCCTCGAACACCACTATAGGTCGACACTGTATACATTTCCATTAGGCCTACACTACGCTGGCCAAGGCGTTACCTAAGTCTATCTTACAGAAGAACGGAAACGCTACTGATAAGGTGTTCAAGAAATGATTAAAAGAAAGCGCTAAGCTAGTCTTACTATGCAGCACATAACTGAGATACGAGGACGGGATAGAAGCTAGGATATGAGGACGGGGTAAGGGAACGATGCCCAACCACTTTGAATACCGGGGATCGAACGCCGACTTGCAAAATAACAAAACCGAGACCGTGGCTGTAGCGACCACTGCAGGAACACCAGTGTTACCAGTGGTCACGGAGGACATGGTAACACCCACTATCATGAACACTGCCTGTGTTCCTGCCGATCCATCCTCACCCCCAAGGATGAGGATGGATCGGATGCTGTATGCACCAACAACATAAACACACGTCTCAATTTTTCTGTTCCACACCTCAAGTGAAATGAAAGTAGAGACCTCGTAACTAGCACAGGGTCCTAAGACAGCGATGGTGAAACACCAGGGCAAGAGTAAACTATTTCCAGATGAATTAAAGACATTATTAATCCACGATTTAAGATTTTTATCAAGTCATTTCGAACCCTAATCAAAAATCATTTCTAGTCTCCTCATGGGGGTTTCTGCACAGTTTGTTAAATTACTCAATACTTAACACAAATTACAAACAAGATACATGTATAGGTATGTATATGCATAGGCTAGTATATGTATATGTATAGGCTAGTATATGTATATGTATAAGCTAGGCCTATACATTAGACACAAATATTAAAAAAAAACAGCTTCGCTTTGCATTAGACAAAGAAACCCCTTTCTCTTATATTATTTGATGACCCAACCATCATTGCCCTCCGTGCACCTGAAGTAGTGAGGAGGGACGGGGAGGGAGAGGCCATCCCGACGGGCACCAGGGTAGTGTTCATGTCCCGGCACTATTCGTCAGGTAGGTCATTGGAGCTCTAATGCATGCAAAACACCGGGTGGATTACAGCGGACTCGTCCAACGGTGGTACTCCCCTCATCAGCGTCCCGACGCGCACTGGGAAATAACTGGCCGGACCTTCCCCCCTGCCACCCAGGAGCCGCCCTCCCCGCCCCCCGCCGCTGCCGCCTGCCGCTGGCAATACAAAATTAGAAGATTAGAATTAGGTGTGAGTAGTGATCT